ACTTTAGTTAATGATTAATAATAGCATTAGATTTATTTTTGATTTTTGAATGGAAAGAATAATAATAAAAAATTAATATTACGATAAATAATATTTATTTTTTAATATGGTATTGGTGTATCTAAAAAAGGTGAGGATTCAATTTCTAATTTTAGTTGCTGTTTTTTGATGATCAGCTATTAACTAATTATATTTGATTTCACGAAGTACAAAATATTTTTTCATTTTTAATTGCTTTACTTTTTTAAGTGTAAAATTTTTGTTTTTAGATATATTGAATTAATAAATAATAAATTATATGCTAATTGTATATTATGTGTAAATAGTGTATTAATTAGCATAGCAATTTTAATTAATTTATTGATTAATTAGCACAGATTAGTTTTAAATAGTATTAAAGGTTTAAATCAGCATTTATTTTGATTGGCTAATTAGTTTCAGAAGGTTTTGTTTAGTTTTGCCAATTTAACTAGTTTTGCCAATTTTGTCTTAGTTTCAGATTATCAGAAAGTTTCAGATTTTAGTTCTTGAAAGCTGAAACGTTTTGACCTTAAGATTTAGGTTTCGCCTACACCTTTAGGTATATATATAATAAAATAAATTTATTTATTATAAAATATTACTTTGATTTCCTATTAGTAAAGTTTTCAAATAAGAATTTTCTTGTCAATTATTATAAAAGCAAAGTTAATCAAATTCAATATAAGATGTAAATTATAATAGTTATTTCCTTTTTTTAATTAAAAAATAAATTGTAATAAAAATAAAAATAAATATCACAAGTTTTTGAAAATTAGAGAGATTTTTACACTTTATATGATATTTTATAACTCAAAAAAAATAAATTTGAATTCCTATATTCTAAAAGGAAAGGAATATTTTTATTTTTTTTTTGTAATAAATTTACCTTAAGAATATATACTTGATAAAAATAAAACCAAATTTTTAAATAAAGTAAGATTAAGTACCAATAATTTTATTAAAATAATTTTTAAATGCATACTGTAACTAATTAATCATTTATAGCTTTTTACAACATGATATATAGGAGGACGTCAGTAAAAAAAGTAAGAAATCTGAAATTTATCAAAATTTAGATTTTCTCCTTTTCATTGACTACCATCTCTATGTAATGTATGTAATAAATAGAGATTTCAATATAAAATTTAATACATATATCAATCTGATAAATCGCTGAACTTGATTTATAAAAATCCAGTAACTTTTCAATAGTTGTGACATTCAATGTCAGTAAAATTTGTCTAATTCGATTTGACAAATTGCTCGACCTACAAGTATGTTAAAATGATGTAAATTAATTTTATATGAAAATTTAAACGTGCCAATATCTGTTAATAAAAATTACCAATTAATTCTTTCATGTAACGATTCTGGTAATGTTCGTTTTCGTGTAAAGAATTGTTATCTTTGAAGAAGTTTTCAATCCAACTATCATCGATTTATTTGCGCGAGCCATAACAAAATCTCCGATATGCATTGCTTATGAGCATCGTCTTCGTTATTAATTTCTTTATAAACTTGACAAAAATAAATCGATTATTGCATTTGAACTTATAAGTAAGGGATGACAAATAATATAAAAACTTACTTGGGTTAAAATGTTTTTTGCTAGTGATATTGTTTCCATTAACTTTAAATTCGCGAAGTAATTCTTTCACATATTTGATTTATTCCACTATTCAATACCTCACCTTTAGTTGTCTGATTTATTTTTTTGTGTTCTTTTGACCAATATGTATATGGGAACGTTGCCAGTAAAATTTGATTTTACTGGAAACGTTCCCATATGGTCTTTTTAATTAAGACTCTTCATCTTTCTTTTCAAGGGTCTTATCTAAATTCACTCCAAACTTATTTTTTTTTTTTTTTTTTTTTTTTTGATTTTCACCATTATTGGTATTCCACTTTTATTTTTCCAGAATGTCTCACATATCGTATTCACAGCAATTTAATTCTGTGTCTTTGAAAGCGGTCTAATATTCTCAAAAAGTAATCCTGACTAACACTGTCATGGATGAGAGAAACAGGGAATAGTAATATTAGTTTAGATACTTTCGACAATTTCCAGAAGCACACTCATCCGCCAAAGACAGAGACATCCGTGACCTTGGTAATCTGAAGTTCTTTAGAATTTTAATGGACTTGAGTTTACCTGCAACAAAGCTTTCATATTCCGAAGCAACAAGGAGTACGTCATTAACTACCTAACTTATTACAGTGTTAGGCAATTGGACAATTTAATATTTTGGACGAGGCAAAATTTTTTTTTTTTTTTTACAAACCTATTTTTCACACGTGATTAAATAATAATATGATTGGTTTTAAACTATTATGTCACTCGTGTCATAAAGCTATAAATATGTTGGCCAGACCGCTATTGCTTTTTTCAAAAGCCTTTATGCTTAACGGGGGGTAACGAAAACAATATATCAAGTCTTACATACTGACTACAAGAAATTTCTTTATCTATACCCTCCCTATACGCGTTAAATCCTACTCTTAACGATATATTATTTTGTGAAGAGATTCTTGAATTAGTCATATACTCGCATTATTAACTAGAAGTTGGGGATCAGTAGAACTAATTATTTGCATTTTAATGTTTTAGGATGATCATGAAGAAAATGACGAAATCAATAATTTCTTTAAAGGTCCTGCCGAAAATAATTCATCCAATCTGATTGGAAAATCGGATGAACGAAACGTTTCCAACGAAACGGAGAGCGAGGTAATATTCACATTAATGTGAATTGACATGAGCACACCCAAGAACCCCAAGAAATGCCCCGGCCGAAATGGTATATTATTCAAGACAACAAGAATTTTCACAATCCTGCCTACCAAGAAATCACAGAAATCTTAACACGTTATGGTTTCGTGAGGATCCAGACGTGTATCGACACTCAACCGGTTGCATACTCTGGTACTCTTGCGTTGCTTCTTTCAACAAGTGAAAAGCCCACGGTATTATCAAGACCATCACATGTGCCAGCAAGGAGAATTACTAGTATGACACTTGTGAAGTATTAAACGAATACTTTCTACTCTTTTGTGCTTGTGTATTAGTCAACCTCTAATTTTGACTTTATAGTAGATAAGTCCATCGGATTCTTTATAGCAGTGTCGGGTTTTGGACAAATTTTGAGTTTTTTAATATTTTGGACAAGGTTTTCGACATAGGAAAATGTTTCCAAAACCTGTCATTGCCCATTTGCCCAACACTGCTTTAATTTTTGTGTTGTGTGTATGATTGAATCCTTTAGACCTTATTACTTCTTCAACAGGTCTCCACAACGCTTCTAGATTCCTTAAATTTTACTTGAAGGATTAAACTACAAATATTTGAACACAAAAGTTTTTCTTTAGTGATAAAAGAAGGTACATAGCCTCCTCTTC